TTAATATTATTAATAAGCTTTTTAATTTATTTTATAAAATATGATGTATCAGAAGTGATGATACAGCCTATATATAGAAATATAAAACAATTGACCAGAAAACTATAATGTACTTGGCATAAATTCCAAAATTATCGTATATTTGGCTTTCTTAACGCCCAAATCCCAAACTCATTCCAAACAAATATCTCAAAAAACTTTATTTCGTATCAATCATTATTTAAACGTTTGAAATATTTTTGCAAAAAATCAATTATTATTTATGCTTTAACATTTAATAAATGGATATTATTCTTTTGAAGGTTTGGAATCTGTCCGGATTTGCCGGCAAGTATAAGAGATTAAATGAAAAAAAGAATAATCTATCTAAAAATCTGGAACCGTCATGTCAGCAAATTCTTCAGCTTCTTCAGCAGAATATTGATTTGAAGTATCATAGATATCAAATCCATTATCTTTTACAGGAGATTCAACTTCACCCAAATCTTGAGCAGAAATTTCAGATATATCATCATCATCTTTAAATGAAGGATTGAGCCAATCTCTTGGATATTCTGCATCTTTTGTCGCATCTTCATACCATTTCTGAGGAGTTCTACCATTTAAAAATGCTATTATAATAATTGACATATCATCGGTACAATATCCAGATTGTGAAATTAAATCACATAATTTGACCAATTCTTTGCAGGCTAATTCTATCATATCAGATGAATATTTATTCTGTTTCATGTAGCTTAACAAAACTTGGGTTGGCATTCTCTTATATACTCTAAGGCGATTCGTTATACCTTTTTTTAAAAAAAATCAAGAAAAAGATTAATATACATTATGTAGTGCATCTTATGTTATTTGTCAGATCTTACCATCAGAGCAAAGAACAAGTAAATTAAGATCTTTTGCGTTGTAAACTTTTTCAGCAAAATCTGGTTCGGCTATGTAAATTATTACAAAGCGTAAGCACCATAAAAAAAGGAATCATATAAAACTTAAGAACGTTTAAAAGTACTTACCTGTCAAACTATTCTTAGCTTTATCTTTAATATAAAAATCTCCAAATGAACGTGTATATTGCATCCCACGGCTAAATGTGTTATCCACTATTTTTCATAAGATTAAAAAATAAATTTATTATTTCTCACATTTCGTGTTACAAAAAACTTAATAAATAAGCTAAATCTTTTGCTTTTTGCTATATACTAACATGCCCAAAATTTTTCTCTCCTGTCGGGCGCTAATCGATATATTGAAAATTTTGTACCCTTGCTTTTTTGGCCTCTCAAGCGTAAAATTTCACCTAAGTAAAATAATAATAAATAAATGCTTTTAAAATATCGATGCTTTCAGAGAGATATATGTCGTATAATTCAAAAATACATACTTTTATTATGTAAATCATGTTCCATTGTAATTTGGACAGATCTTCCGTTATTTGGTGCTATAAAAGCTGGTGAATCCCCAACATAAGCCTGAATTATGAATTAAAAGACATTCAATTACACTAACGTTATAGCTCCTGATAATTCTTTCATAATCGAGATCACTTACAACATATATATCTTTCAAAGGCGTCATTACTGCCACTATTGCGGTACATCCAGCATCTTTAGATACTTTTGAATATGCTACCAAAGGTGGGAATAAATTAAATTTAACCATTTAAACATTACCATAAACCTCATTTAATCACAAAAAAAAAAAGAAAGAAAGAAAGAAAAAAAACCTGTTCTCATAAGTTGTTCAGTATTTTTAAAGCCCTTTTTAATCGCTTTTTTGACATTATTCTCTTTATAAGACCAGAACCTTGGAAGACTTTTAGCAATACTTTTTGGTAAATTTTCCGAACATATTTTTGAAATATGCTTTTTATCTTTCATATTCATTCCATTTACTATTTTGAAAAAATATAAATATGATAATTTATAATATATACCGTAGTGCATTGGCTAAAACATCCCGTGCAAAAATAATGATTCTATATTAAATATTAAAACATAATATATCCGGTCTTTTGTAAGTTTTTTTCTTTGGTGATCACAGATTTTTTTTTAATCAATGCACTTCGGTAATATACATAAAATACTAATAATCAAAATACCTCCATGTCCATCATAAACACTAAAAAAATAAAATCCTTTGGCTTGAGAATGCTTTTTCCCTAATTCAAGATCAATAGAAGTTGAATCTTCGATTAAATCTTTTTTTTTAAAAAAAAAGCTCAATTAATGATTGTCACAAAAACGCTTAGAACTTTATAAGATGAATGCATCTCAAGATTAATTTACCAAAACTAATGAATCTTCTTTCTTTCGGAGACCAATTAGTCTTCTTAAATGCTATTATTATAACGTCCTGTTGTTTGCAACTTTCCATTTCAGAAAATTCGTCCTTGGACAATAACTCCGGTTTCATTATTACTATAAATAGTTTTTTAGCAAATTTCGTATTAAAGAACGATTTTTGAATATGCTGTCCTGTGATTAAAACCTAAAACAATCCACCTTCAGATTTTGAATGCAGTGATACTTTATTACCTGCAGGATCAATATAAAATTTCGTATTAAAAAAATTGGTTTAACTACTTTTTACTTTTGTGTCTCATAATCCACGCAAAAAAAAAAATTCGTGTACAAAATAGTATT